TTTCTTAAGCATGTCCAAACTGAGGCTTACAAACCACAAACTCAAAACTAGTTGTTTACTCTGTTATGATTTCATGTGTCATATTTTTAGTTATTTATCCTCTAAATAAAGCATTTTTACATCTGGAAGGCCAGCTGCATTGTTTATATCATACAGTGACAACTTTAGTCTGTGACAAGGGGCGGTGGGGTAGTCTAGTAGTGGTTAAAGCGTTCAATTCCCCACATGGGTGCCATGTGAAGCCCATTTCTGGTGTCCCCGCAGTGATATTGTTGGAATATTGCTAAAAGTGACACAAAACCTCACTCACTCAACTGTGACAAACAAATCAGTAGTTTACACAGTAAACGTTTGCATAATTTCAAAGGACAATGCAATTTTGAAAGAAGCCTGTTAATACAATCAAAACTGTGAAATAAATAATGTTCATAACACTACACATTCCAAGACTTTCAGGTCACACTGGTGTGGTGGATGGACAACTTAGGTGTCACTTCATGCCTTGCCAGCTAGGATGTCCAAATTATTGGAAAGAGCTGTAGCAGGTGATGCAGTTCAATCATCTTAAAAGAGATATATTGAACAAAAACTGTTTGAAATATGTCAGACACTCGCGTGTCTGTTCATCTTTTCTAGTTCAGGTCTGTGTGAAATGGAGGCTGTATGTTTTGTTCATCCAATTAGATCATCCACACTTGGACTCGGTTGAGCCTTACACTTTGAACACTGGCGTAATCTCTCATGCACTGCATCATGGTGCCTTCTAAAACCATTTGTTATGTCTAGGGTGTGTGAAGTGCCTTCGGTCGTGTATGGCTATTTATGCTGCATATTGTCGTAACTGCATAGAAAATCTTACTCGCGTAATGGGCTTCTGGATATTTGAATCGTTTGAACGTATACTTTCTATTTTGTATGTGTCCACATCACAGCTAGATATCCACACCGCAAAGGAATCATTCGTTTAAAGCCTTTGGAAAGAGGTCATCACTTTCTTGGTAAGACCAGGAATACTCTACAACACTTATATAGTCTCCCTGGTAAGACGTGCTATACACTGGTCTCTGATAGCGCCGATAGAAAACAAAGAACAGTGTGCGAAATAGTTTCCAAATGGTGCTAGCCAGTTGGGCTAGCTATGCCTGAAAGTTACTAGCCCACAAAATTATTCACTGGCCCGAAATTTGAATGTAGACATGGGTTTTTCCATGAAGCTGTTAATACACTCTCTCAAAGAAGAAACGCAACCCCTGTTTTTTTTGGTAATGTTTATATCAATTTTAACTGGTTATTACATTTGTATTTTTAAAGATAATGCCATGAAATTTGACATGGTGAACCTTAGGTCAGCACGGTATAAGGTAACAGTTAATGCAGGTCAGTATCGAACTCTCAATTTACGCTAGGGGGCGTTGTCTTCAGTATCTCGTTGTAGAGCCAAGAGCTCTAATCACAGCAGTGCACCTCCTCGGAACAGAACGAATCAGACGGCGGATGTTTTCCTGGGGGATTGCTCTCCACTCTTCCTGGAGTGCTGCGGCCAGTTCAACCAACGTGTGCGGTTGTGGTGTACGTGCACGAACACGACGATCCAGCTGGTCCCACAGATGTTCGATAGGATTGATGTCTGGCGATCTGGAGGGCCACGGCATCACGTTGACGTTTGAATTATGTAGGAATGCCACTGTTGCACGAGCTGTATGAGGGCGGGCATTGTCATGTTGAAACAACTCCCTCTGTTGGTCGATTATCGGCAGAAGATGTGGCTGTAAGACGTCATCAATGTACCGTTGTGCCGTCAAATTGCCACGAATGATGACCAAGTCTGACCGTTGGTTGTAAGACATGGCTCCCCATACCATGATGCTTCCTCCTCCAAATCTGTCGACCTGTCGAACGCAGTTCGGTGCAAAACGTTCATTTGCTCGTCTATAGACACGTTGTCTACCGTCACGTCGTTGAAGAAGAAAACGAGACTCGTCACTAAACCAGACTCTTCTCCAGTTTCTTAGGGTCCATCTCCTTACGTTAGTACACCACCTGAGACGTTGGCGTCGATGTTGGCGTTTCAAGACGGGCCCAACAACTGGTCTTCTTGCACGTAAATTTGCCTCATGTAAACGGTTCCTGATGGTTTGGGCCGATACTCTCCTCAAACCTGGCACCTGTGTTGCAGTGATGGTGGGTGTGGCATGCCGATTACGTAGGTGGCTGAGTCGAATAAAGCGATCCTGAGCCGGTGTGGTGATCCTAGGTCTACCGCTCCTGGGACGATCTTCAATTGCATGGAACTGTGTGTAACGATTCCAAAGTCGTGAGATTGTTGTTTTGTGTACGTTTAGATGACGGGCAACTGTTCCAAAGCTTTCCCAAGCCTCAATGCGACCAATGGCAATATTTCGATTTGCTGTACTCAAACGGGGCATTTTCGAACTTGATTTGCAGAGCAAATTATGAGAGAAAAATTACAAACTACGCGTGCTTTTAAAACCCTCTACATGAACTGTGTTTTCAACGATTTGCACGTGCAACAGGCTTTTAGCATTTTGTACATGACAATTTCGCACTTTCTCAAATAACACGGATACAAATGTCATCATGTGTGAAAATGGTTCCGTTTGGGAGCTTATACTGATCAGATGGGAACGTATTAACAGTATTTTGAAGAAAATTCTAATTTACATTCACCATCTTTATTCTAGAAATGATGTCAGATATTTAGATAGGGGTTGCGTTTCTTTTTTGAGAGAGTGTATGACGAACATTAACCAGGCCACAATATTGCTGATTTAAGAGTGTGTTATAACTTCATAAGTCGGAGAGAGTGATACATGTATTTACAAAATGACCCCATGAAAATTCACTAGCTACTCTGGCCAGTGACTGTGGAGATTTACTGGCTCGACTTGATTTTTGCTTGCCACGGGCTAGCGGGACAGCGGCTATTTCGCACAATGAACAGGAATACCAGTTTTAAGAACACCTCAATAGGATGTTGTTTGGTTATGGATGACGGGTTAGGTGGACGATTACTTCTTCTGGGTAGATGGTGCTTAAACTGACGTATATGACATTATATTCTAATTAGGAGAAGATGTCATCTAGTGTCGAATTATCAACTTGGTAACCACATTTTCTCTGGTAATCGAAAGTGTTATTGGAAATGCTGTAGGAACGGGGTTATCCTATAATATTTCACATCATTTCCCAATTCTCGTTAGCATTAGAAATAAGCCACATGTGATTAATGGCGGACTAAAGCTCAACTGGAGAAATGAAACCGATTTGATGATATATGGTTACAAAACAGAAAACTGCTTTCGACGGGAAATTGGCGATTTCGATATATCTCAATTTTCTAAACTATATGCGATAATAAACGCTGATATAAGTATATCACTCAGTCTCTCCGTGCTCTGGCTGATATAAGCATCCCGTCCATATCCCGTAATAAAATGCATTGGTACAGAATGGCAAACTCACAATAACGATTATGCTTCCTTGTTCAAATAATATTATATAGAAGCAATGCGAATACTGTAAATCATGAAATTAATGCGTCACGAATTTAATGCGAGCTCAGGAATCTGTATTGATGATAAAATGTGACACCCTGAATCTTTGGTGGTGTTCTTTTTCTTTTCACACTTGTTATTTACCAAATAACCTGAATTGAGCTTGTTAAGCACTGAATGGAAATGAACTGACGATGTTTTGATTACGCTGCCATGTTTGATCACGTGATTACTTACTACTACTTGTCTTATAAACGTAATCCGACTTGAAAGACATAATTAAAGTCATCTAGAAAAGCGTCACCGACGATGTAAACAGAAACTTAAATAGATGACAAACTAAAAGAAGCCTACGTAGCAGCTGAACGGGACATAAATGACTTCTTAACGTTACAAAACGATATAAACAAAACAATTAGGAGTTGATACAAAAACCTCGTGTATAAAACTGGCATTAGCCATAACTCACATCATATATTCCATACCTTAGGGCAATACTTCATAGACTTAATTGTCTTAACCAAATGCAGACATCTGCTTTGACTATTCATTTGCTAATGACATCTGCAGTAGGTCTCTTTGTCTATAATTGAAAAACTGTGAGACTACCGAGATAACACTATTCCTCTGAATGTACATTTTTGTAAAAATGAAATCTTATCTCAGGTTAAGGCCCTAACTCCTGGTAGAACCCCGGGACCTATAGTGAGCATCTGAAATACTCAGAAGTGAGTGAGTTTAGTTTTACACCGCACTCAGCAATTTCTATATGGCGGCGGTCTGTAAATAATTGAGTCTGGACCAGACAATCCAGTGATCAACAGCATCAGCAATGATCTACGCAATTTGGATACGATGACATTTGTCAACCAAGTCAGCGAGCCTGACAACCCGATCCCGTAAGTCGCCTCTTACGACAACTTCGACAAGCATGGGCTGCTGAAGATCAATTCTAACCCTTTTTCCAGTTCTAACCCTGATCTTCACGACTGACTGACTGACTGAGTTTGGATTTACGCCGCTTTTAGCAATATTCCAGCAACATCACGGCTGGGGACACCAGAAATGGGCTTCACACATTGCTGATCTTCACGAGTGAAATGCCCAGGACGGTAATTGATACAACATATATTATCGTTATTTAACACAATTCATAAATAGGAATATATTCCAGAGATATATAGTGTCGGTCATATCCTCCATGATGTGAAATGCAGCAGATCAACCAAGATATCGACTGGACACGTCTCTGGCAACGTTCCCCGCAATTTCGATACTTGTAAACTTTTCACATCGCATTTAATTAAATCTAATGACTATATTGTAATTTGGTCTAAGCATTGACGGCAGCTTACAGCATCTATGGTAACCTTACAACAGGGGGTTAACAATAATTAACGTTAAAATAACGTCATTCATCACTACTTTATCCTACAGCAGTTATTGCCCTTGCGATTGACATGTGATCAGCACCTCACTTCCGTTTCCTGTAAGCCGACGTGTTGATATGGCTGACAGAGGCAAGAAAGACTCAACACCTCCGCCGTTACTGTTGATGCCGGCTGGTGGTGGACTTACTCTGAATCCTCCTGATCAACCGAATGTCTTGATGCCCATTATTCAATCAGAACCTTCACTTTTAGGCCCAGGTATGCAGAATAATTGTAGCAGATGTGCAAATGTCAGTTGTGACGATTTCCACTTTTCTGTGTTCATGAGACACAGAGTTGTAATGTTTACTTTTAGATCACAGACAAACATCATGTTTATTGTTGAAAGGTATCTGTTGTTTTGGTAGTTTGAAAGAATCACTGCGTCCATATTTCCCTGTAAACAACTTCTGCTGAAATGTTGGTTATTCCACTGTGACCAATGTCAACATGTCATTAGGAGGATCTATGTCAGGAAAAATCTACTGTTGCAGCGGTAGGGCCTTGGTTGTTGGAAGAGTATCGTGTATAAACAGTTTTGATAAAACGTCTGGTAGTTAAACAATCGCCACTGGCTTTTGTGATGCTGTTAGTCCGCAGTTACCTATTCACGTTTGGTATAGATGACCATACATTCCCCCAAACTGACTTTTATGTTCACTTATTATGAACTTGCAAACTGTAATGGGAGCATAAGTAGTCTTGCTATAGAGTGTTTATTGTATCCTAATGGTGTATGTGTCTTTGCTCATAATATAAACCACCGATTTGTTTAACTCAAGCTCGATCATAGTGTGAACTTGGTGAAGACCCATTCTTGTATACCTTTTCAGTTGTGAAATATTTATCTACAGAACCGCTGGACAACTAAAAGATGTAACTACTTAATCAGAACACCACTTGTGTTAGTACTGTTCAGCGTATTGAGTGCATTGTTCATGATGTTTGAAAATGTTTTTGTTCATGCCATTTTCTTTGATTCATTTGTTCAGATGAAGAAGGGGAAGCAGACAGTTTCGTCGGCCAGGGCCCCATTCCACCCATGGGGCAACCGGGTCCTCCACAACCAAATTCTTTCAACTACTTCCAAGGTTCACAGTCTTCAGGGATGCCAGGAAGCAGTGATCCCTTTGCAAACATTGGTCAGCAGGCGCCTCTAGCACCTCCTCAAAGCAACACACCACCAATGCCCCCTGTATCTGGTATGCCAGGGGTGTCCAACTTTCAGTCTGTCCCTCAACACTCTCAGTCTGGTCCACCAACAATGCACGGTGCTGGTCCTCCACCTAAAGGTAGAATAGACATAGTTGTAAATGTGCCTTTCACAACTAGCTCCAGCGGCCATATTTGAAATTGGTGCTGAAAGATATTTGGTAGAACATGATTTGCCTTTAACATGTTTAAGGCATCTAACCCTTTTCAGTTTTCTGTGTAAGAAAGCTAGTAAACATGTTTACTGTATTGCATCCATAAGTCCTGTGTTTCCAATTTCTCAAAGTCAAATACACTTATTATAAGAGACATTATGTTCATGGTCTTCAGTTCAGTTGTCTTCAGCAAGTGCTTTTGAAAAATGATACTGAGCCTGTTCATCAAGGTTTTTGTTCTAGATACCAGAAGTGACGGTAATTCAGCTAGATGACAATATTTGTTTTTTAGTCCTAAGTTTGTCATGAGCGTGAAAGGCACATATACAAAGCGGGGAAGTATGCGTGGTGAATTATACATCCTGTCAGGTAGCGCTATTGCTATAGTTGAGTGTTTGCGGGCTCCAGATACCTCTTGTAGTCATTCAGTATTTACTAACGTTTTCATTCACTCTGCATGTTGTGGGTATTATTATTTGTCCTTGGGTATTCAGTATACATGTATTATTACTCGCCCGTGGAAGATACTGCAGTGTAATATGTTTACTGCAATATTACACTAGTGTAATACCGCTAGACGTATGACGTCATAGTGGCTCACAGTTATGACGTCACAATGCTAATGCCGCTGTCGCAATGGTACTAGACCTTGCTTGACTCACGGAAAGCTGAGAGTCATCACACTGTAGGCAATTTCGCCGCAGTTTCTATCAATTTATATTGAAGAGTAATAAACAGAATACTAAACTCGCTTCCCGTGAAAATACTGAAATACCATTTTTATTACACGGAAGGTCGTTAAGTATCCTCTATTACTTACCCTCTTTGGTCCTGTCTAATGGCTTTTTGTATAGTAATGAGTGTACCAATATCAAACATAATTCTGTTTACAACACTAATTGAGTTGACTTCTATGTCCATGTGATTCCACAAGTGTGCTGAATAATGCATGAAGTTAGACAGTGGTACATGTCTAACTTACAGTGAATCTTGCTCTTTTCTACATTATTTCCCTGTCGTAGAGTCAATGTGTATGATATCAAGCCCTGATGTGTTAATTATTGGGAAGTGGTGATTTATTGTGTATATTTGATGCAAATATGGAGTTTATCTGGAGTTCTGTGACATGGTACAGCTTTTACATTGTGTTGTGTTTGGAGGCAAACCTTGTTTCAGTATGGATTTATCATGTGTATTTCTTTGATCCTAAAGTTTAAGCAACATGTTTAATCATCATAGTAAGACCTTACATTTGGATGTGGTGACAATGAAAGCAGAGATTCAATGGAAGAATGAACACAACTGAAACTAATCTGAACAAACACTAAACATAAATCACTTACGGACACTCTCCAACTTGTTTGTTGTGTCCAGCGGAAGTGCATAATGGCCATACAAACAGAGCCTGGCATGGCTGATGAGTTAATTAATCGGATCTCAGATGAGAAAAACAAACAAAACATGCTAAATATTTTGTAAATTTTGACCTGGTGAAATTTCGATCAATGTTATAAAATAAGGTTTGCTTAAAGTTATTGGTTTGGGAAGAAGGTATTGGTGTGATATTTCTCCAAACATATTGTTTATTTAATCATATCTTGTTAATTTTCATGATGATTTTGAGAAGAATTCCATAATAGTAAACATTATAAGGGTTACTAATTAGAAAAAGACTTGGCAATTGCTCCAAAAATAGTTTGATTATTTTACACATTTTGAACATTATGTAGCAAAGAAAAGACCTTACTGTCGTGTAAGAGGCACCTGATGGGATCGGGTGGTCTGGTTCGTAGATCGATGCTCATTCTGTTGATCACTGGGTTGTCTGGTCCAGGCTCGATTATTTACAGACCACCGTCATGTAGCTGGAATACTGCTGAGTGCGGCGTTAAACAACAAACAAAACAAACAAAATCTTACTGTTGTTATTGACTTAGGTCTTGTTTCACTTTCTTTTCAGCTTCAGGCCCTGGCAACATGTTCCGTAATACTGGCCCCATGCGTTATGCCAAGCCACCTCAGGGGACATATGCAACTTCAGGCATGCCCCCACCTGGGCCCCAGACAACCCCCTTCTCACAACCCTCCCCTTTCCAGCCCCCTCCCCCAGTGTCAGCAGCTCCACCACAGCCACCCCCCACAGCCATGGTCCCACCCATGTCCTCCAACCCACAGCCTACTCAGCCTCCTCCACAGGCTGGGATGGGTCCTCCAAGTAGCTCCCCACTAGTGTACCAGCCTGTCCAGGCTCACTGGTGCTTCTGTAAGAGTGTGGAAAACAAGGACGTGTGGTTCCCGTTCTCCCTCCTGGACTCCCTCAGGATAGAGGAATGTTATAAGACAGGTAGCCTCATCTCATATACATGATCTTCATATATGTGATCATTTACTTTAAATGCTGTGTTTCAACCTATAGTCCATTTGGGTTCAAATGAGAACGACAAATGATTAAATAACTCGAACTTGGGATAAGTGCACAAAACATGAATAAGACACATGGTCCTGAAACTATGTACCCAACAGGATCTGAAATCTGGCGTTTTATGATTAATCGCGGAAAAAGTTGCCTAAGAAACTATCATGTAATATTGTGCTATTTTCACGCTTTACACCGGGGGTGACAAATGGCTGATGGAACAGCACCTGACCAGCTTGGTTCATCTCACCTGGCTGTGCTGAATACATGACACTTTTATGGATAACAACTTCTTTTTATTCTTTACACTACGTTTCAGAGCTAATTCTTGCTCCTTCATCAGGTGAATGAATTTGCACCTGGATGTGTGCTGGTGCTGTTCCACCAGCCGTTTGTTACCCCTCGGTGTGAAGCGTGAATATAACACAATATCACATAGTTTCTTGAGCAACTTTTTCCATGAACCATCATAAAACGTCAGATTCCAGATCCTGTTGGGTACAGAGGTTTCAGGACCATGTGGCTTATTTGTTTTGCGCACTTATTTCTCTTTCCAAATATTTAATCATTCATCATTCTCGTTTGAACTCAAACGAGCTATGTAAGAGCCAAGTTTGTCCTTATTAGTGTTGTCCATGACAACTATTGTTCTCTTTTTACATGCTTTGTCAGTATATCTATGTGATAAGATTTAGGCTCTATGTTTTCTTTCACAATAAACAGAATAGGCTGACTTAATCACAGCCTGTGACTTGAACCACTTGTCTGAAGCCTGAGCCTATTAGACATTGTAAATTCTCTTTGGTCAAGGAAGATCAGCTGATAGATGCCATATCAACATGACACTAAAATATTGTACAAACGATGCTAAGAGATAGATTCAGGCTTGGGTACTTGGGTCAGACTGTAGAGTGGTGTATACCGCAACCTAGTGTTGGGGACCCGTGAAGGTCCAGGTTAGAATATTGATCTTCAGTAACCCATGCTTGTCGTAAGAGGCGAATACCGGGATCGGGTGGTCAGGCTCACTGACTTGGTTGACACATGTCATTGGTTCCCAATTGCGCAGATCGATGCTCAGACTCGATTATTTACAGACCGCAGCCATATAGCTGGAATATTGCTGAGTGTGGGGTAAAACTAAACTCACTCACTCACTTAGTATTGGGAATTGGAAAGGAAATCAACTACCGATTATCGGAGGACTTGTGGTGAACGATTATCGATTATAATCGAAATACATGTGTACACATTTGAATGTAATCACCAATTTTAAGGGTTTTCCCCAGTTTTTTTTCTAATTTACTAATATTGTCATGTAGTGAAATACACTAATGCAAGAAAGACACTGGAATTGTAATTAAACAATGAAAGTGGTTGAAATTTTACGGTGCGCATATCTTGTTATGCTTTTGAGGGCATGTTTGTTTGTGAATATTCATAAAATTTAACGGTTGGTTTACTTCATTCAAGTGTTTTATACTAAAACAACAAAATTCCAATGACTCAACAACAAAAATCATGGTCATCATATCAGAAGAGTTGCGGTATTGGTGTTCTGATGATCGAAAATAATCGAAAGAAGGATTGAAAATAATTATCAATTGTGAAAAACATATATATGTACCATTGCTTCAATGCAAGCAGTGGCATCTTGTTGACATATGCTTGTCACCTAAAACATGCTCCAGCTGAACATTCACCCAGCTGTCTTATTAAGAAAACTTTGAGTTTTGAAAACAGAAAACAAATGGCAATATATTTATTCCAAAGATATACAAATATGGTGTTCAATGTTCAGGGTGAGCAGACTCTGAGTTGGAATCCTAAATTCACTATTCACATTCACTATTCACATTCACTATTCACATTCACTATTCACTATTCACATTCACTCTCTACTTCAAGCTTTCACCATTCTGGTCAATTTCAGTCTGTTACCATTGTTGGAGTATAGAACATTTTGTGTATTCTAATATGCTTAGATGCTGAGAGTCCAAATGTAAAATCTACTTGAAAGGATGAAGGAGGACAAGTTTTCACCATTGCTAGACAAACCCTGACAATAGCACGTGTGTCACTATTGTATGTTTAACAGCAGCACAACATGATCCCGAGAACACAGTGATCCCCGCTATCGGCGGCCGCTACGATGTCAACGTGGGGAAGCGGCTGCGCAGTGCGGTCTACTGGGAAGAGGAGCCGACAAGCATCCGCAGATGCACGTGGTTCTACAAGAGGGAGGGGGACAACAGATATGTCCCATATGGGGAGGACTTTGCTCAGAAATTAGAGGTACGCATTAGAAGTATGCCGAATCAGGTCCTTGTGAAGACTGTATTTTGGCATAATTAAACTGTGTTCATGTCCCCCTTTTACTGTTTTCACCAAAGTGGGCAAGTGGGCAAGTGGGTGAAAGTTTTGCCGTTCTCTGTGCAGATTTTGGGCAGTAGCCATTATAGGATCTGACTACTGTAAACGTAGTATATTTCGCGCAGGTTTTATTTTCGCGCTTTTCGCGCAAAACATTTTAGCGCGAAAATTTATACACCGCGAATAAACCTGTCATTCATTCAGTCTAGCCACACTCGCCCCTGAGTTGTTACCATAACACATCAAGTTTGAAGACAGAAATCTACGGGAATCTTAAAATGACGACTGATAGTAGCATAAAGAATCAAACTTAACTGTCGCTGTAATGGATTTCCCAAAACATAATTAAATAGTGAGCCAAATCCCATCGCCGAATTAGCGAAAACAGCAATGTGTGTTGTGGCCGCCATGGAAATTGGTCACATGACAGATGGTTTGATACAAAACAGATTACCACGAAACGACTCGGAAAGAAATAATACAGCAGTATCATCATGAAGCGAATAGTCACTAACACTCAATCATCTCATTCACAACAACCCGGCTTGTTTGAAATCACAAAGAGCTTCATATACAGTATAAGTTAATTAGTCAGATCGTCAGAATTCGGAACATAATACTGATGTGTTTTTCATCTCTTCCGGGAGTAAACGGGTTACTGTGTACTAGTATATCGCACAGATAGGGATTTCCTGTGAGTAAGTAATAAATGCCGCCTGACAGGTTCAGCCACTCTGTTTGTTTTCACTGCTATTAGTGGCGGCCAAAGAGACAGCTGGCAGTTCCGGCAATTACTGATTGCGCGAATAATTGACCGTGCGATGTAGTCTAAACTGTCAATTCCGCGAAAATTGCACCACGCGAAAATAAGTACGTTTACACTATGGTGTTTGGTCACTGTCATTGCTGGCTCTGGTAATTTGACCTGTATCCCATCTCTACACATCATCGACCCAGGTCCTGTGTCATCACCCTGCTAATGTGGGTTTAGGGCGTGGGGTAGCCTAGTGGTTAAAGTGTTCGCTCGTCACGCCGAAGACCCGGGTTGGATTCCCTACATGGATACAATGTGTGAAGCCCATTTCTGGTGTCCCTCGCTGTGATATTGCTGGAATATTGCTATAAGCGGCATAAAACTAAACTCACTCATCCCCATTCATCACTGCGGATGTCCTTATGAGTTGACCAAGCTTAAAAGAAATACTGCTCAAACCAGTTCACTGACTCTTATGAAACTGTGACTTATACATCACACTCTTGTCTGTTGCTATTTTAGGAGGAGTACCGTAATGCAATCCAGTTCAACAGCTGGCACAAGAGACTGGAGTTCCCAGGAGGGGAGACCATCGTCATGCACAACCCAAATGTCATTGTGCACTTCCAGGCCTCATCCCAGCCGGATGAGTGGGGCAATGTACAGGTGGGTATTTCATACCAGTTTGTGTTTCACTGCATCCCCTGCCGGCCCCCCAAGACATCCCCCAAATCCATTCTTCCTGGAACATCTTGCCCGAAATTTGCCATTAATGATGTATTTTTCCAAAGTATTTTTATGCAAATGCATGGCGGCTGGTTTGGGGCAGTTGTTTTTATCAGTAGAGAAATGATTTATGTGGGTTATATTTGACAAATGTTTGAGAATTAACCTGTTAACAGCATGTGATTGGTTCTTGTTTGTCTACAAACCACTGTAGTACATACAACACAAAGGAATTGGGTACAAAATTTGACTTGTTTGAATGCATGATATAATGACTGACACAGGTCACTGCAAACGTGATCTGTGTCATGAGATTTGAAATATCTTCAATTTTCAATAATCTTTTGTTTTTTTGTGACTTTGTCTTTCATGTGTCAGGCTGCCAAAATGAGAGTAGATTTGCTTTCTTTGAAAGAAATAGTGAATAAACACTCCCCAAGTTCTGATTTCTTGCCATGTTTCATTAGCATGATGTGAATTTGAATTAAATGTAGAATGTGAAATCATTTGAATTAGATCACTGCTTGTCCCTCCCCAGAAACATGATAGTAGCATGCCACTCCATTTTGTTGAATGTCGTCCTGACAGCATGACAAGAAAAATGGAGGGATGAAGTCACGTTTTCTAACACATTGTGGAACTTGATGCACAAATCATGTGTGGTACAATTTCAGTGTGGCTTGTCCTCATGTTTGTTGAGTAGCACATTGGCAGACCAGGTTATTAACCTAAATTCAGCTGCCTGATTATCATGATGACTAGTCTGCAGTGAATAGTATCTAACCTAGTAATTGCATGTTTTTAATGTTTCGTTTGATAGCGGTATTATGTTACTGGTAGACTTAATCATTTTAATGGAAACGGAATAAAAATTGATACATGAGAAATGAATAACAGTTACTTTGACTTAATATTGATGTGTTATTATTCTGTTCATTGCTGTGAATATGCACTATTTACTTCAATGTTTAGAAAACATGGTAATTTTTAAAAATTGATTTTATGAAATGTTAGCAGTGAAATTAATTCTTACATAAATATTATCTACTTTTAGATCTTTCATTTCTGGGTTGTTGATTTGTAGATGTAGCTCATGGGTTAGTTTTAATGTCTTTTGTTTTTCTTTCTCTTTCATTTCCTTTGGCAAACAGGCAGTCCAAGTAAGCTATGTCTTATTTTGCTTAATAAAAAGGTCCTGTGTTAGGAATATCAGTTTCATCAGTCTGACATAGTGACAGGTAAATACAAACACTGATGTCATAGCTGATCTGTCTTTGTCTATGCAAATTGTCTGATACGAAGTGAACACCTGGGCAACATCATTTGGATGTTGATATTTCTCCCGGATCTAACAGAACAATGTCTGTCTCCTTTATCTCTGCTGCTTTGAGACTTATACTTTTCATTTCACAGTTCATGTTTTCTTCCACTTCCCAAACTGTAAAGCATATTTATTTGTGCTCTCAATAAATTGTGTAACCCATTCAAGGCAAACGACAAGGGTCTTTTCTTTGGCTGGACCAATCACTTGTTTTACAGAAGACATTGTCATATTTTAGACTTGGTTCGCCATATGTTATTAAAGAATATATTCTGCATCACTTGCATAAACATGCTTCCTCCTGTAACTGCATATAACTTCATGAATCAGGAACGGTTGCAGGATGCCAGGACCTTTTTATTAGGACAGAACTTTGTGTACCGTTTCTTAGATGCACCAGCTTACCTCATATAGCTCTGCCATGTTTGTGTACTAGACAGCTCTCGGCAGTATACAAGTGAATATATTTCCGTAACACATACAGTTCTGTTGTTCGTCTAAACCTACTGTTTTCATGTCTTTCATTCATCCCCTGATCAAACCTGGAATATAATCCTCATTCTTCCATTTTTCTGTCAGAGTGTTTATTCACTACCGGTGAGTGTGCCCTTACTGCATGCTACTGCTTCCTCGTAACATGTAACCAGCTGTTCTCTCCTCTCAGGAACTTCTCCTCCTGAACAGTAGTTCTTCTGTAATTGACATTTGTAACTTGGCTCTCTTGAACAGTTCCCATGGATCCAAGATTCCAGGGCTTTTTGTTGATTTGTCAGTAGAAGCTTTTGTGTGCAAGTAATGTTTTTTTCATGTAGAATGTTTCTACTTTTTTATGTCAAATGGCTTCTTTGACAAGGGTTTGTTCAGTGACATCACCTTGTACAACTCTAGGTTGGGTTTTTCAAAACAAATTATGTGTTTCTTTATCCAGTTTTCATAATCATTATTGATTCTTTGTTTTGAACAATTCTGTCTTCATTATATCCACCAACATTTAGATCAATATGGTTAAGTTGTCCTTTGAAGCAGAATCTTTCTTTTGAACATCATTTATTCAAGGGAGATAATATTCCATAGTGAAACACTTTAGGGAATTTCAAACTTGGCAAAGTATTAACATTTTGTTGAAGCATGATGGCATTAAGTCAGCTTAGTTTCTTCCATTTTGTTTGTTGTGTGATTAGAAGTAGTTGCTTTGATGAAGATGATCGGTTCCTCCCCTACCCATGCCGGGCTCCTCATCAATGGCTGCACCTAGTCCTATATACATAGGTGGTCATCTTTCCACTTTCCATGCTGAATCCAGCTTTCGTTTTTCTGTGTAATCATGAAATCACTTTCTTGTATAGATGTTTGCTTAATGTATCCATTGCTCAGTGGTCAGCAGTGGTCAGTGTTTATGCAGTGTCCAGTGCATGGTTTGATGTGTGCAAGCATGTACCATGGAGTTGCCTGGTCCAGTAGTCATGGATCACTTCTACAAACACAGAGAATGTGAAAGCACATGTGCATACAGACATTTTATTCGCTACTAATGTAGTTCATTTTTCTGAGTTGCGGTGGGGTAGCCTAGTGGTTAAAGTGTTCACTTGTCATGCCGAAGACCCGGGTTCGATTCCCCACATGGGTTCAATGTGTGAAGCCCATTTCTGGTGTCCCCTGCCATCATATTGCTGGAATATTGCTGAAAGCAGCATAAAACTCAACTCACTCACTTACTCACTCATTTTTCTGACTCCCTTGGAATTAGTGACATCTGTGATGCTGTAGTTTTTAAGATGGTGCTATGTGATGTTTCTGTATGTGAGACTCCTCATAATCTAACCACTTCACAGAGTCACTTTCTGATGTAACACCTGGTAGAACATATATGGACTTATGGATTACCATTTTGTCTTTGTCCTTTAACACTTACAGTAGTTTATTGTTCATTCTTCTGCACCACCGCATGACCAGATAATGCTTTCACAATAACCCAGTGTACCAAGTTCCTCTTGCTTGTGAGAAACACAGATGTTTGGATCCGATGGACACAATGCCTGTTGAGAATGAATATTGCTTTATGATGAACCATAAGGAAGGATAGCGTTACGGTTGTTCACTCTTTCATCATATCCACAACATTGTCGTCTAGTGTATGTGATGTTATTTTCTCACTCAGACATTGTCTTGAAGTAATGTATATATTAAAAGTAGAAGTCTTGTAAATTGGAATATGAATGTTTACCAGCTGTTGCAAAAAATTACAATAATATGCTAACAATGTTTGTGAATAGAACATGCTGAATATGTACGTCACAGGTTAAATAATGCTTGGTTGCTCTAACATGATATCTGTTCATGCTTCTGGAATAGAAGGAAATGACAAAAGGGAGACAACTCTTTTAGGTCTGTTGGTTGGATAGGCGCCATGAGAAAAACTGTTGTAGGTTGACTTGAGTGGTGCTTGTTGTTGATGTTGTGTTAGTTTGGTTGTTGAATTGTTGTACATGTTCCAGTGGGCGACTTCCGCCTCAATCTCATGGTCTAGTTGACTCCCCACTTCCAGCGGTACAAGTCCGAGGGCGGGTACATCGCGGTGGAGTTCCTCCCAATTACACTGGCATAGTTCCCTTCACCGGGACGCTACTGGCATCGACAGGTAACACACCTGGCCACATCACTTGTGTGATCTACAGCTTTGACATGACACAGTGGTGTTGATTTTTCCTTATCCTGACTCATGCTTTTTTGCTTGTCTTCTTCTTCTAACATAGTGGAACACTTGTATCTCCCTAATTGAAGCTCCCTTCAATGTAAAATCACTAATTATTAGTACTCAGCACGAAGTTACCTCCCTTCCACAAGCTGAACGAGGGCCACCTCCACCCATGTGCCTCACTCTTCCTTCTTCGCCCAGTGAGCTGGACGAGAGCACCTGTGTCTCCGACACACTATATCCTTTGATTATATTTAGTTAGTTACCCTCGTGATAGACATCTATAGAGGTTTAGCTAGTATCCTTCAACAATTATATATTGATATTTAGTCGTGTTTCTACTGTTTATTCACGGACGCGGTTTGTTTCAGTGGATTACGCTGATAAAAATTCTGTTCTGTTGCAGATTACGCTTTTTATTCTGCTGCTGATCCGCGATTTAATATGCCCTAGTTGTACTCGCGCCATGTTCATTTTATTCACGCTGCAGTTGCGTACTAATTTATCCATTTCTGCCTTTAATAAATAATTACTTTGGCGCTTTGAGACGCCGCAGCAGATAGGTCGCTGCGATGCAGAGTCTAGCCATGACTGATACACCTGAACCCTCGCCAGTCTACTGCTGTTGGTCGACCCCCGCCCCCGCCTGGTGTTCCGCTTAGAGTGGTGGAGAGGCGTGGGACGAGTCCGCTTCCAAGAAGCGCCCTGCTTCCCCAGACATCCCATCGCCGCAGCCAAGACTAGAGTTTTTCTACTGCATCTCAACGCGAATTCTGAGGGGAAATCAACGGTCTACTTGAACTTTCTCAGCCGAGATTGTTCCCGCCGCGAGATTTGGGCCTGTATGATGATCAGCCGATCATCATACCTGATGTACATCAAAAGAATGACCGATGTCGGCAACAGTGATGTCAGCGCAGATCAACATGCAGCCTGATGTACCAACGCTGATATTCTATGATCTTCCTGAGGGTCCCGCCGCTAATAACACTCAACGCAGACTTCGCACCCCAGGGCAGCGCCGAATTCTGAGGGGAAATCAACGAAGTCTACTAGGACTTTTCAACCGAGATTGTTCCAGCCGCTGAACTGGCCTCTACGATGATCAGCTGATCATCATCCCCGACGACGCCACAAGAAGTTTAACCGGAGACAGCTACAGTGACATCAGCAGAGATCGCCATGCAGCCTGATGTTCTACACTGACGCCAGACGACTTCCTGAGGGTCCCGCCGCTAACATCGCAGAGAGGGCACCGACTAATTCGCCGCAGACCATCCCAGATGAACTGTTGCGCAAATCATGATCATGATGGAGGGCCACCACAGACTGGGAAGCAGCCAGCCCAAGGTCCCGAGCCTTCGAAGGTTCCAACGCAGACGACACCCCAGAGGCACCCCCATCAGCGTAGCAGCCACGACGAAGCCACCTTCGCTAAGGAAGTCGCAGACCACCTCCACGGCGACCCAGATGTACAGCTTCGCTAAGGCCTTCGCTGGGCGGATAGATCATCACCTTCCTCGCTTCATCCCTAGATGCGACTCAGACCGCCAGACCTCACGGAAGCCTTCAAGGTCAAATCGCCGCTCCCCAGGACCGACGCAGAGGAGGAAGGCCTTCGCGAAGGCCTTCGCTAAGGACACCTGACTACACGAGCTTCGCTGGCTATCAACATTCTCCTCACAGGTCTCCCGAAGGTCAACCCATAGACGCAGTTCACCAACACGATCTCCGCCGCTAACCGCTACCGATCTCCTCGCACACATCACCACGCCGATCGCCTCACAGGTCACCACACAAGTCTGCACACAAGTCTACAGTCAGGTCTCCCCGAAGGCCACCCGACATAGAGATAGAAATACACAGTCCACCATCAGAAGAGCATCAACCTCTCATCAGTGATGCTGGGATAGAAAATGATGGAGGCATCATTTTCTCAGACGCTGAGATAACGATATTGATGGTAAACAACCTAGATCTCTCTTCACCTTCCAAGAGTGGCAACTCGGGCGAGACATACCTGATAAAGGAAGACGAGGCAGACGCCATCACCTTACCTCCAATCGACTCGATTGCCGCGGTGCCACAGTATGTGGACACAGCCTACCATAAAGCCATAATAGTTCAAACGCCAGAGGCGTATGTTATTGGCATTAATAGATCTAGAACGATCAATGAGATTCTTATCACCAGATTTCGCGGACACCCACTTCTGAAGATGATAGGATGATCTACTCGCTCTACTTATGCAGAACCAGCAAGAACCACACCCTGTATGAAGCTAACGCCATATATTGATCGGTTTCTAGACACTTCGCTAAGGAAGTCCCAGGCCACCTCCGCCAAGGAGCTAGAGCCTCACCAGTTACAAGGGACGCCACGGAGGAGTAGCGCTTCACCGAACCCCACATATTGCTGAGTGCGGCGCGAAAACAATACACTCACTCACTCACCCTGTTGAACACAGAGGTCGTCATGGGCAAGCCATATATTATATATATACTGATCGGGCTCTGACTCAATACCTTCGCAAGGTCGCTAAGGCTAAGTGGCTCCAAGTCTACCTCACACAGGAAATCTAGATTGATACTTCGAGAGCTTCACAAATCTCCGGCAAGGCCCACCGAGGAATTCTCCTCCAAGGTCTCCATATATTAGCCACTGGCCATATATAGCTACTCGCCAGTCCGTTTCAAGACATCGCATAAGTTGTCTATCAACTGTATGCCATATGCCGCCTATAAGCCTACGCTAAGACAATTGCACAGGCTATTTACAACACAGAACGCCGCTATATTAATTAATCAACGACGCTGCATAGATCTTCACAGAAATCAACCTTTTCCGTGATAGATTGCTAGAATATGCAATCCCGACTACGATACGATTATCTACATGCGACCATTACGCAGATCTGCAGACAATTCAATATCGAAATTGAACAGCAGCCTTGTTACAGCCAGTATAACTCATAATCGCCAAAGTTTCTGAGAAGAAATATGTACAACAAGTTCAGCTTTAATTCTACAATTATGACGATACATTCATGTATACAGTCTACAAGCTGACAACTTGCAAGTTTATTGTACCTTTATATAAGAAAGTCGGAATTATATTCAAAACTGAAGTTACTTTCACGACAGCCAGGAAAATAACCTACCCAGCATTAATATTACAGAGCTGCAGGGTATTTCGCATACCGAGGTTTCGCTTACCTTTAACCCTCAAACACGTGGTCACCGGGTAACTTCGAAGCTACGTGAAGACCGACGATTATGCTAATATCAACGACGGCAAGATTTTATACAAGGTTTTTCCTGCTACACCGGTGACATCACAGCTGGTATTCTACAGAATCAAAATGCCTTGTTCTGATTGGACCGCTGTTGGACAAACCACTCCACGAGAGGTCGATCTTAGTTCACAGGTCAACACTTACGCTACAAGTGACAACTATATATCAGTGAACGAAAGCAAGCCTCCTTACAGTCCAGTTAATCTGAACCTTCATGATTGGGCTGCTTTCTTCAGGTTAGAGACTCCCCTGTCAAGTTAGGACGAGGCACGGCAGTCAGGCAATTTTACATAAACTTCAACGAGGACAGACACACCTGGTTGTGCACCTACATCGCCAAGGACTTTCAGAGCTTAATAACCTAGACGACGGGATACAAGTGGATCTAAATCCACAGCGCCTCAGACTACAGCTGAATTTCATAATCAAGCTACTAACACAACTAGATGGTTAGTAAACCTACTTAAACTTTCTGATTGGAGAATTAAAACGGAAGTTTCACCCTCCAACTTGGGGATCTGAATATAGTGTTCCAACACCTCACAAGTGAGGTTTATGAACACGCCTGGATGACATACTTGGACTTCATGATAATGATGATTCTATCACGATGGCCAGCAAGAGCACTGTAAATTTATCTCCACCGAACCAAACAGAAGGGAATAATACAACAGATTATTTCCTCTATCATCAACTTACGAGAATGAAATCTCAATGCACTATATCTCCGCTTGATCAGAACTGTCATACTACGTGCATACAAGACGGATGGACCTAATCCGACCCTCCATGAGCTTTTAATACTCATGATATTAGAGCTTAACTTCTGCATTGATCTACACAATGTTATTTGAAATAATGGAGGGTTTATTTTCTGAGATCCGATATGGTGGTTGCCAACCATTATCTGAGAGATATCATCACCGAGGACGCCTCAGGTATCCACCAATTCGATCCCATGGTCCCTCGACAACAGTTGACAGTTCTCGAGAAGATAAGTCAATCTTACAGATTTCTACTTATCTTATAACAGTACTAAATAGCTACATGCTATATATAATTTGCTTAAGTTCTTTTATCATCACAGTACTATGATTATTACATCATACAATATATAAGTTAACAACTCTACAGAGTTGGTTATTATATATTTACCTTAACTTAATTATATCTTAAGCATAGTACTATACTCAGATTGTAAAAATAT